ACACACACACACACACACACACACACACACACACACAGAGGAAGGCAGCCAGAGAGTGAGAGAGAAACAGTGAGAGAGAGAAACAGAGTTAGAGAAACAGAGAATGAGAGAGACAGAGTGATAGTGAGAGAGAGAAAGACAGAGTGAGAGACAGAGAGAAAGTGAGAAATAAAGAAGGCTCTTGTAGAGGCAGAAATGGGAAGATAGATCAAGGAATTAAACATGCAAATTAAAAAAAAACTAAAAATGAAAAATTCAAAACACCTAATTAAACATCAAAATAGAAATCCTGAAAAATCAAAGCAGAGACTAAGAAAATTGAAAAATGAAAAAAATCGAATTATTGATGAAATTAGAATCTGTTTTTAATCAATAGATATACAATTGCCTAATTTGATTAAAATGGAAAGCCAAATCACCAGCACCAAAAATTTAAAAGGAGCATTCACAACAAAAAATAATTACATTGTTTTAGTCAATTATTTTCCAATAAAATAAATAACTTAAATGAAATGAATGTTTACAAACATATAAAATATTCAGAGTAACAGAAGAGAAGATTTATATGACACAGTCAAGAAAAAGGAACCAAACTTGGTATAAATCAGTTGAAAAAGAAAACACTGAGCCCAAATGGATTTACAAGGCAATTCTGCCACATATTCAAAGAACTCTGAGCCTAGACAAACTATTTGAAAAATAAAGTGGGAAAATTAGGTTTTATATAATTCCCCTATTCTACAAATATGACATAAATGAAAATCAGAACAAAGAAAGAAAAGTAAGATAAATATCTCTTACTAATGTAAAATTTAAAAACAAAATATTAGCAAAGAGGCTGTTTCACAAAGATGAGGCACTCCAACCAGACTGCATCTATACCAGGAAGACAGGGTTGGTTCAATATTAGGAAAACAAAATAACAGATCATATAATGAAAATCAACTGATGAAATCAAAACAGATGAAAAAAAAGCTTGACCATATAAAACCATTTTCTATTTAAAAAAACATACACACACAAAGAGAAAAAAATAAACTCTCTTACCTTTTTAAATGTATAGGACTATGTGGAGATAGGAGTTGGCATATATGACATTATGATACTCCTTTTAATCTGAGGCTTTTCAGATTCAAGAATTCTAAGGAGTGAATTATTTTACCAATGTTTTTTCCAATTCCCTTAAATTCAATATGAGTTGAGAAGAAAGTATGAAAGAAAATAATCAGAAAAATACCAGCTTCACAATGAAATTTGAATTATATTAATTTATCCATTCAATACAACCTTTGTTCAAAGACCATAATACAAAGATGAATGACTTAAATTTAAAAAAAAGCAATAAAACTTAGGAATAAAGGGACTTTTTCTATAAGATAGTAAGTAGTATCTGTCTAGAAGTCTTTCCAATAAGACTACAGGTAAAACATAGATATCCACTGCCACAACTACTATTTCACAATTATAGAAAATTTTGTTCATAGCAGTTAAACTAAGAACAAGAAATTCAGTGAATATGCATAGGCAAAAAGGAAACCATTATTGCTCTTTTATTTTCAAAGTTGATATAATCATGTATTTAAAGAGAAACCTAAAGATTCAACTAATTTTTTTTCTTGAAACAATAACTTCAGCCAAAATGCAAACTACAAAATACATCCTCATAAATCACATTCACATAAATGTTTATATATTGCCAAGAAAGCAATTGGATTCCACCTTTCAAGACACACACAGGAACTTTGTGAATAGAATTACAAACCAACCTTTTTCATAATAAAAACAGACCTAAGTAATAAAAGCATTTGTTGAGTCAATATAATAAAAATGCAATACTACTTAAAATTATTTAATGTTCAATGACATCACAAACTACCAAAGGATTACTTTATAGAGCCAAAAAAAAATTAAATTCATCTGGAAGAACAAAAGGAAAAAAATACTAAGGGAAAAAAATGAATGAAAAACAATTGTAAAGGCAAAAAGCATGACAGTACTATCATAAACTACAAAGTATATCACAAACTACAAAGTAGTCATAATCAAAATAACATAGTGGTAGTAAAAAAATATAGATGATCAGAGTGGCAGAATAGGTATATAACATTATATGTATTAGATAATACTAAAGACCCTAGCTGCTGGGGTAAGAAGTCACTCTTTTATATTCTGCA